AACGACCATTTGGAGAGGCAATGACATATTTATCCTTATAATGTGAAGGGGTCTCCGGTCTGTGTTGTGGCGCGTAGGGATTCCCTCGCTGCGCGTGTGAAATATGGACGGTAGAAAGTAAGTGACGTTTTATTCACAATCGTCAACATCGCATTAGTCCCCGCTCAACACGAAAGTCCATGATGTTTATGAAGGTTATGTTTTCTCTTCATTACATCAAATTACAATTCCACTGGAAAATGTCACCATTAGAAGTAACAAAGTGCGTTTATATCACAAGCTCACTGAAATAATCTGCATCGCCGCATTTAGAGCTCTGTGACAGCAGAAGTGGGAGACGTTAATTTAACTCAAGAGTCAAAAAATGCAAATTAAATAACTTGAACATTTCACTAAAAACACAAGAAATACAGCACAGGAAAATTTTCGGCTGTTCGTCACGACTTTGTTAAGCACAGATGAACGCGCGCTATAAAATAATAATTTTCACTTTGAACCACCGAACTTACCTATCAATTACATAGCGAAACGTCTCCTAGTTCCACGCGTGGAATCAACGAGAGACAAAATCTATAATAAGCGCAAATATTACGCAATAGAAATTCCTACACGATCTTACGCCACAAACTTAAGAATAAATACAAATCAGAAACTACTACCAATAGCAAATTTCATAACACACTGCGCTAAGAATAGATACATACGTTGAACTCCCAACGTTGCATTACACTTCGCTGCGTACACATCAACAAATTTCCGCACGCATTAAATTATCAGGATGTTAACATTCGTGGCGTGGCAGAAATTTATACTAAATTCCACAAGCATACGGAGAACCTAGTAGTTTTTTTTAACAGCGTACCAAACTTCATGTCCACTTCAACAATCTGTTAATGTTAGTGCTCGCTATTTCTTCAGCAAAAGAACGCTTAAGCATGCGACTGAGCTCAGCTTCAGGGCAACGCACGTCTCTATTCACGCAAAACAAACAGCACGTAGTAATTAGCCACCTCTGACCTCTGACTAAGCATCTGCTTTGCTCCATAAAACGTCAGTGCAGGCAAAATGCATATGATCAAAACACGGACCTACCAGAGTGAGGGAGGGCGGACCGAGACACGCGGAATCTTGCGCTGTGCGTGCATTTTCAATGCGTCGAGAATTGAAGACTGGGGAGGGGGAGGGGGGTGCAGTGGCCTACTGTCAGATGATCTATTTTTCACTATCTGTATACTGTCACAACGTAGTACTGAGGATGGCGCTGTCAAATTACAACGCCGCTAACATAGCCGTCGTGTCTCCTTTCCTACGTCATAATTGTCACAGAACACACGAACCTTCGCGCATTTTACCGACAAATGCAGTAAATGTCTAATTTGACCGACCAAACGGAATGCGGGACTTTGACATCGAAGTACTCGGAAAAAAAAATTGCCCATTCATCCATCATCACCTGTACTTGATGTTAAAATGCATTGCACAGCGTCCACACTGACGAGAGCACCTCGCAGGTGGGTTTAAACGACGGCTTACACAGAACCTGGACATTCGGTGCTTCAAGGTTCTTATTTGTCGTTTTTTTTCAAGAAGAATTCTTATCCAAATAAAAATCACGTACGTTTAAAACGTGCGTCGGTATAAAACATTTCAATGATCTACTGTTCCTGGCAATGGTCAACTTATTTATCACTTTAAAATTCATAAATATTAAAATGCAGTATCAATACACTTTTTAGCCACGGTGGTCTAGCGGTTAGAACGCTGGCCTTGTAATCCTGGGGGGGTCTCGGGTTCGATTCCCGGCGGTGCCCGAATTTATAACTTGTGTTGGGCAAGGCCGTGGTCTAGGCAACACGGAGTTTTCCTCCGTGGCATCCCAACAATTACTCCATTCACACACAGAAGAAGGCAATGGCAAACCACTTCTGGATCATCTACCAAGAACGTATATGAACAGGTCCCAGTCCGAGAAAAGGATGGAAGGATCCTGTTCATATGGACCTGTCGTCAGACAGAACACTAAATAAATAATAAATATAATAATATCTATACATTCAGGACTGCTAAAAACACATTTCCCCATCATTACGTGCTTTGTGTCAAAGCACGTAAACTCTATAAACTTTCACACGAAAAAAAAAGTCTACAGTAATGACGTCAACACTCTTATGACGTAGGAAAGGCGAACGAATGGAGTAGTTACATATACAGAACTTCAACTGAACTGTAAAGGATTATTCCCTGTGCTGTCAAATGTTAATGTCAATAAATAAAAGCGATAAATCCCTTCAAATTGTGACAGGGAATCAGAATTCTCCCCAGGAAACAAAGTCAGTACAAAATAGCAGAACGGACAAAATCACTGTCTAAGCTTCAAAACGTGCAGTAAAATGAACCTAACGCCGTCTCTACTCTTAAAACACATCTTTGTGACTCAAAGTTTCAGTTGTACTGGGGAGGATTCTGAGACAAGTGTGTCAGAATGCCTAAACAAAAAGCCAAATTGTCGATGTTCAACCGCGTGTTTTATTGTGGCGGATAAAACCGTTCACGCAATCTCAAACGCATCACACCAATCCTAATTTCATTCAATTCCCTCCATCCTCAGCGGCGAAAATGACAGACACCATGTCCACGCGGCGTTAAACCCCAGGGCACGAGAACGTAAAATTTCACTAATTTATCACGTCTAAAAATAACAACAATCACTCAAGAAACAGGGAAAAAATATGCATCATTTATGTTTACACCGGGGAGTTCAGAGAGAAAACATCAGTCACGAACTGGCTCTATTGATCGTCATCTCAGTTTGTGTAAGTTGACAAAAGGCTCCTGAAGAAGATGATCTTATAGGGAAGCAACTACGGTCAGCGTATCACGAAAATATCCCCCAATCCACGAAGAAAATTAACACAAAAACATCGTCCAGTGATTAAACTCCCCGGTAAGAGCAATGGCCTACAAGACACCGCGTAAAATCAGATATGAACCAGCCAAGGGCTTCAAAGCCGAAGAGGTTACGTCCCACCGTTTGGTCCCGGCTTCCACACGGCAGCGTCTGAGACTGACAGGATTGTAATTTGAATGTCGCCAGCGACAAGGCGTACGTGCCTCAGACTCTTGGCTTCAGACGTCTGTCA